CCGTGCTGCGTGTCTGGGACATGTTCTTCTGTGAAGGTGCTGGGCTGGGCTGGGGAGAATACCAGAGAAGCCCCGAAAGGCCTGCTTGCGCTCACCACTCGCCCTCCACCTCCATGCAGGCGTCAAGATCATCTTCCGGGTGGGGCTGGTGCTGCTGAAGCATGCCCTGGGTTCCCCTGAGAAGCTCAAAGCCTGCCAGGGCCAGTATGAGACCATCGAGCAGCTGCGGAGCCTCAGCCCCAAGATCATGCAGGAGGCCTTCCTGGTCCAGGAGGTGTGGCCCACCACTGCGCCTTACCACTGAATGGGAGGGGGAGGACATGGAGGGGATCTTTGGAGGGGTCCTGGTAGGCCTGTGTCACCCACACCAGGCTGCTGTTGAGTGGCTCAGGACAAAACTGAGGCGCCCCTCATCCTCCTGGCTGGATAAAGAGAAGGGGGCATAAATGGGATTAGGGTTTTTCCTATCCAGTAGGAGTAGAGGGGAGCTATAACCTGCATCTCTCAACCCCTCAGTTTTTTTTGTTGTTGTTGGTAGTGATGGTGGTGATCATAGGGCTTGAATTCAGGGCCTGGGCACTGTTCATGAGCACTTTTGCTCAAGGCTAGCACTCTGCCACTTTGAGCTACAGCTCTACTTCAAATTTTATGGTGGTTAGAAGTGGTGCTTTGGCTCAAGTGGTAGAGTGCTAGCCTTGAGCTGAAGAGCTGAGGATAGCGTTTAGGCCCAGAGTTCAGGCCCCACAACTGGAAAAAAAAAAGCAAATTTTATGGTGGTTAATTGGAGCTAAGAGCCTCACAGACTTTCTTGCCAGTGCTGGCTTTGAACTGCAATCCTCAGATCTCTGTCTCCTGAGTTGCTAGGATGGTAGGCATGAGCCACCAGCACCTTGCTCCTAGGTTTCTTTTTTCGTGTGTGTGTGTGTGTGTGTGTGTGTGTGTGTGTGTGTGTGTGTGTGTGTGTGTTGGTACTGAGGCCTGAGGACCCTCTCACTTAGCATTTTTTGATCAAGGTTGGCACTTTACCACTTGACCTATATCTCTGCTTCTGGCTTTTTTGATGATTGATTGGAGATGAGTCTCAAGGATTTTTCTGCCTGGGTTGACTTTGAACCGCGATCCTCAGATCTCAGCCTCCTGAGTAGCTAGGATTAAAGGTGTGAAACACCAGTGCCTGGCTTATTCTCCCCATTTTTTCCCCCCCTTGGACGATACTTGTCTTGGGGTTGTGAAGAAGAGACACATTCTTCTCCAGATGGGCCTGAGGTCAGGGCTGATGCTGTGCAGAAGCAGAGGCCATCTTTGTACTTGCTTTACCAGCAGCCGAGGAGGGCTATGGCTTATACCCTCATTGTCCATGTGAGGAATAGAGGCTCACAGAGGCAGCATCTCGAAGTGATTCCCTCAGTCACCAGCCAGAAAGTATAGTGGAGCTGGGATGTAAGCCTAGGCAGTCAGGTTGCCCTGGGCAATGGGGGGACATGTCGTTCTAGCCCAGGTGTTCACCGGTCTGAGCCTTACTCCTCCTGCCCAGTAGGGAAGGCCAGTGGCTCCTTGAGTAGCCTGAGGCAGGTGGCCTGGTACAGAGTTTTGGGACTTGTATTCACAAAGCCCATCCTTGCTGGGGTCAGCTGTCAGCAGTCAGAGCTCGGGGAGACAGCAGAGAAAGGAAACTCAGCTGGGGTACAGATGGGGATAGGCCTTCTTCCTGCTTACCTGGCCCTTCTTCCCACCACAGGTGGTCGAGTTGCCCGTGACTGAGCGCCAGATCGAGCGGGAGCACCTTATCCAGCTGCGGCGCTGGCAGGAGACTCGGGGAGAGCTGCAGTGTCGATCCCCGCCAAGGCTGCATGGTGCCAAGGCCATCCTGGAAGCAGAGCCTGGCCCCCGACCCACCCTGCAACCCTCGCCATCTATCCGCCTTCCCCCAGATGTCCCCTTTCCCGGCTCCAAAGCCAAGCCACCCAAGCAGGTCCAGAATGAGCAGCGGAAGCGGTCGAAGGCAAGTGGGCAGCCGGACAAGGCCCTGGCACCCAGTCAGGACACAGTGGTGACTGCCGCAGGAGATGCATGTCCCCCACAGGAAGTGCCCCCAAAGGACCCCATTTCCCAGCACCTCACCCCTCAGGACTCTGCTCCCCAGAACTTAGTCTGCCGTCGCTCCCAGGAGAGCCTGACTTCCCAGGAGAGTGAAGACACATACTTGTAACCCTGGCAGCTCAGACCTCCAGGATGGGGTCTCAGCACACCTGGTTCGAAGACTGACACTCCAAGCCTTGCTTGCCCACTTGGCCGCCAGACCAGGACGGATTCTGGTTGGCCCAGCAGATTCTGCCTGAGTCTCTTATTTATTTTCTCTATAGAGCGGAGCTCCGGTGGCCTAGCCAACACCAGCAGAAGCCAGAGCCTAGTGATAGGGCCTCATTCAGCCCCTCCTCCTGGGGGAGGTGCTTCCCAGTGCTCATGTCCTGACTTGAGGGGGGTCGCGGGGTACTCTTTGTGTAAAATAGAAACATGATTTTGTACAGAAATAAACAAGCTTGTGTAGAGAGCTGGTGTATAGCTTAAGAGCAGGAATGCCCCCGCTTGGCATCTCTTCACCAGGCCTTACAGAGTCCCTCGTCCTGGCCCTGGTCTAGCAGGAGTTGGGTCCTCAGTAGGAGCTTCTCTGAGAAGTTTCTTTGACAGAGGAGTTGCCAAGTTCAGGGTGAGCTGATCTGGACCCTTCCTTTCTCTTCTCCCATCCCTGCTGCATCGTGTCCGTCCACCATGGACAAGGGATAATGCTGGAGCCCAGCACTGGGTGAGAGCAGGGCATGATCCAGGCCCTGGTCCCTCCTCTTCACTAAGGAGGTGCCTGCCTTCCTTTCCCCCTCCCCTGCCCTCCACTCCCCCCTTCCTCCTTCCTCTTCCCTCCCTCCCTCCCTCCCTCCGATTGAACTCAGGGCTGGGCACTGTCCTTTCACTTTTTTCAAGGAATGGCACTCTACCACTCAAGTCACAGCTCCATTTCCAGCCATTTAGTGCTTAATTGGGGATGAGTCTTATGTCCAGGTTTTGAATCTCACTCCTCAGCTCTCAGCCTCCCAAAGTGCTAGGATTATAATAGGTATGAGCCATTAGCACCCAGCTAAGAAGGTGCTTCCTTGCTCTTCTTCCTCCCAGGCCAGTCCTGTTGCCATTTCAGGATGGGATTCTGAGCACTCCTAGCACCTGGGGTGAGGCATTCTGAATGTCCTCGTGTTCAGTCCTGGCCTTCGTCAGCAGCTGATGAGTGAGGAGAGACATCTGTTTACTGAGCACCGACCATGTGCTGGGCTAGGCTAGATGTGCCTGACATGAACCACAGGCTGAGTGGGAAAGGAATCCCTCTTCCTCTGTGAGGAACCTCTTGAAGCCTCTCCTCACTAGTTCTAGATGACCTGCCTGCCATGGAGTTAGGCACTAGGTCACAATCTGATGACAGGCAATGGTGAGGACAGGGTGTCCCTGGGAGAGGCTCCCCTCACCCCCCCTCTGCTGAGGAAGCAGCTTTTCCAGTCAAACAATAGCGGCTGTTCCTGGCAGAAGACCAAGCAGGGCCTGGCCATAGCGGGAGGGGATGGAGGAGGGAAGAGCAGAGCCTCCCTAGGAGCTTTCATGCATCGCCCCGTCCTGGAACATCTTGTCCTGATACAGCTGGGGATATTGAGGCTAGGGAGGTGAATGGGCAGACTACCCATTTCCTGCCTCCTGCCCCTCACCCCTGTGGTTTCCCACCCCATGTGCACCTGCCATGGATGGCCTGAGCTCAACCTCTGGAACATTCCCTCCCTCCCAGGAGTCAGGGCAAGATGTTGGTGACTGCAGTGTTCATGGAAACATCCCTAGCCTGGTAGCTTCCCATCTGCTTGTTGGCCCAGGCAGGCTGGATACCAATGAGGCCTGAGGTCTGCTTTTCCCCTACTTAGGTGCAAGGCCTCAGACCTAAAGTTTCAGTGTATTAGGACAGACATGCCCCCTGGAGCATGCCTGGCCTTGCCTAGGAACCAACGTGAGCTTGCTGGTGCTTGCTTGGCCTTGGGGTCGCCTTAGACCTGCAGAAGCCTGATCAGATCTGGGGTGTCTGCCAATGTTTGGAGGAGGGGAGATTTAGATGTGCTCAAGCCAGTTGGGTTCTGCTGACGGCGTCTTTGTGAAGGCCCCTGTGGAGCTTGTTTCTGGCCTAGTTTTCCTGTGAAGGGTCTCAAGCCATAAGTTGGGGCCACCTGCATTGCCGACCCCACAGCATGTCGCTGAGAGATGGCTAGGGCTCTCCTTATCTGAGCACTGGTGGGGAGCTTTCTTCTAGTCTGGAAGTTGGGTGAGCAAAATGGCACCACTGTAGGCCCCCACCCAAGTTGGGAAAGGGAGTATTATCCATGCCAATGCTAGGCAGTCCTTGCTGTGGACCTGGGGTAGGTCACCCCCTGCCCAGCTAGCTCTGGAGGCCCCGCCCCACCCCTTCCAGCTTTGCACGTGGAAAGGTGGGGAAAGTGGCCCTCACACGGTGGGGAGCAAATCACTGGGCCATCAGGGTCCTGGGCCTCTGTCCCCCAGGCCTCCCATCCCCGGGCTTTAGGGCCTGCGTTCAGGTCCCAGCCGAACTAGAGTTCTTCAGCCCCTTCCGTATCTTTAAGACGGCAACCAGCAGGCCGAGGTGCACGCCTGAAAGAAACAAGCCCGCGCTTCCGGCACACTCCCGAGCCCCGCCCGTCAGACGTCCTGCGGAAGGGGGGGGGGGGAGCCGCGCTCGGGGGCGGGGCCAGGGCGGGGCCTCAGGCCTCGCGAGAGGGTGGGGTCACAGCTGAGCCAGGGCGCCAGGGGTGGAGCCATCCGGGGTAGGGCTCAGCCAGCGAGTGAAGTTCTGGTTCGGGGAGGGGGCGTGGTCACCCTCATTGGCTGTGCTTCTGGAGGGGCGTGTCTATCCGGGAGGACGCTGGGCGGGGCCACAGCGCTGGGCGGGCCCCGCCGCGTAGCGGGTGGCGTGGATACCGCGACACCGCGGCTCCTTTAAGTCCCGGGGCGCCACCCCCGCTGCCCCGCCTCCAGCCTGGGTCTAGCAGGCGGCGGGGTCGGGGCCGCGCTAGCCGCGATGGAGCTGCACATCCTGGAGCACCGGGTGCGGGTGCTGAGTATCGCCCGGCCCGGTCTCTGGCTCTACACCCACCCGCTCATCAAGCTGCTGCTCCTACCCTGCCGCAGCCGGTGCGCGCCCGGGTTGGGGGGCGCAGGTGGGGGCTGGGCTGGGGCTGGCGGACGAGGGTCGCCTCGGAGCGAGGGGGAGAGCGTGGGGAGGCACTCCCCACGCCGGCCGCCATCCGGCTTGGTCCTACCCTTCCTGGGACGCGCCTATCCGGCCCCCGTCCCGGGGCCAGTGCCGGCCGGCGCAAACAGCCCGGGGTGGGACCCGCTGCGCTCCGCAGGGGGCGAGGCGGGGGCCGCCCGCCACGGCCGTTGGCGGACGCCTCTCGTCAGGTTGGAGGAGGGCAAGGTCCGGTGCCCCTTGGGCTGGCGTCCCGGGGTGTCTGAGGCCCCCCTTCCCTGGCGTGAAGGGGCGGGGGAAGGTCTGGAGGAGGCTGAGAACTTCGCGATCCCAAGGCGCGGCCTACACCCCCATTGCTCAGTGGAGGAAACTGAGGCCGGGTGGGGGGGGGTCAGGAAGTCCACTGGCAGTGGGAGCAGAATCCGTTCTCCCTCTACCCCTCTGCTGGGGTTTCCTCCCCGGCTGAAGACCCTCCCTCACCCCTATCAGGTGCAAATTCTTCAGCCTGACGGAGACTCCGGAGGATTACACCCTCATGGTGGACGAAGAGGGCTTTGCAGGTGGGGTCACTTGTGCTCTCTGTCCAGGATCTCAAGTCCTGAGAAATCTTGGACCTTAAAGGATCTGAGTTCGAATCCACCACTCAGGGGCTGTGTGTCTTCCAGCAAATCTCTTCCCTTCTCTGGGCTGTGTCCAGTTATGTAAAATGGGTGTAGTTGGAGAGGGGGTGTCTAAACATGGTCTCTCATGAGGGCCTGAAAAAGTTAAGATCTATGCCGGGCTGAAGGTGTGAGAGAGGGGCAGTAAGCCTCAGGCCGGCACAGAGGCCCCCCCCCCCAACAGCTTCAGGCAAGAGTTGGGGGTTCCTGCAGCAGTTTTGACCTCCTAGACACTATTCCTCTTATCTCCTTCGAGTTGGTCAGCTCCTCCCCTGCTGGTCTGGGAACTCCTGGAGTCTGAGGGCTGGGGAAGGAATGCGGGAGCAGGCAGCCATCCCAGAGCAGGGTCCTGGGGGCCTCCTGGCTGTGCTTGGGCGAACAGCAGCCTCTCTGGCCCTTGTTCCTGCTCAGGACTGGACGCTAGCCCTGGTCCCTCCCTGGGCCCTGGGGCTGACATGTGGCTTCAACTCTTGGCTGTCCAGGCCCATCTGACAGGCCTGGAGGCTTCAGCCAGCCAGCTGGAGTTTGGTCTAGCCTTCAACTCCCAACTTCAGGCCTTAGTTTTCCCTGTTTGTATTGCTGGGAAGTCAGTCTGCAAAACAGAAAGCATCTCTGGCCAACATGATCTGCTGGCGCCTCCTGGGTGGTGTCAGGAGATCATGAACAGGCTCGAGGTGTAGATCCCATTTTACAAACAAGCTCAAATCACTGCCCCACATCAAGCAGCAAGTAAATGGCAAAGCTGGGATTTGAACCCAGTTCTGAGTCTGGATTTCTAATTTTATGGGAAAGGTTTAACCCCTATCGGACCAGCTCTTGAATCACTTCTTTTCTACATAGGGAATTTCAGAACCCTAGCCCTAGTCTCCAGCCCTGTCCCGTACCTTGCTAAGAACCTCCCAAGGCTCAACCAGGAAAAACTGAGGCTCAGAGAAAGGCAGGGCTACCCTTTCAGGCTCGGATCAGGCCCGTGCATCTCGCCCACAGAACTGCCCCCATCTGAGTTCCTGCAAGTAGCCGAGGCCACGTGGGCTGGTGATGAATGTGTCATCTCACAGCGGCACGGCAGTGCAGGCGGCTGGGGTCACCAAGATTGCCCGCTCCGTCATCGCACCCCTGGGCTGAGCACCGTGTGTCTGTGTTGATGTTGTCTACATATCAAACAGACTTCATCCTGGTGAGTGTCTGTAATTCTGGGGCAGGGCAGGGCGCTCAAGGATAATGGCGGGGGGGGGGGGGGGGGGGGAGGGGAGGGGACATATCATAATGTACAATCTTTCTGTGGCCCAGGTTCGAGAGCAGGACCTGTCAGTGGTAATTCATACCCTGGCTCGAGAGTTTTGATATCTACCGGGAAGTGGGTGGGGAGCCTGTGCCTGTGATCAGGGAAGATTCCAGCAATGGCTTTCCCCGTGCCCAGCATGGGTGAGGTCTGCCCCTTGACATGCCTTTGTTCTCCCCCGTGTGGGTGGGCCCATGGGTGTGGGAAGACAGGCACCCTTCCCTTATGAAGGGTGAGGGCTCCAGGAGAGCGAGCCCAGCTCTGCCCCTTGCCCTAAAGTTCTGCCCACTCCGGTCCTTCCCCCGACCAGCCACCAGAGGTCGCCCCAGCACCACAGATGCCTTTTGATCCGATGACCCTCTTACCTCCAACAGGGTCCAGCCCTACAGTGCACCCCATTCAGAGCCCGCAGAACCGCTTCTGTGTCCTCACGCTGGACCCCGAGACGCTGCCATCCATCGCCCACCATCCTCATCGATGTACTCTTCTACTCGCACAGGTGGGCTGAGTGTGCACCTGGTCTCTGTTTTTTTGGCTGGTCGTGGGGCCTGACCTCTGGGCCTGGGTGCTGTCCCTCAGCTCTTCAGCTCAAGGCTAGCGCTCTACCACTTGAGCCACAGCGCCACTTCCGGCTTTTTCCTTTTGCTTATGTGGTGCTGAGAATCGAACTCAGGGCCTCATGCATGCAAGGCAAGCGCTCTACCACTGAGCCACCTTCCCAGCTCTGGTCTCTGCTTTCACACCAGTGTTGCTAACTACCTTTGTCCTGTCCATCCAGCCTGCTGCTTCTGTGCTTGGCCTTGTTTCTCTGGGGTTCCTGAAAGCCAGAGAGAGCTGCCAGGGCCACCCATTCCAGTCCCTTCCCTGGGGTCTGTGGGCCGATGATTAGGAGATGGAACTTGCTGGGTACATGGCAGGGCCCTTGATTTGGGGCCTTCTTCAGTGCCCCCAGAGAGGCAGCCTCTGACGGTCTCGAGTCCAGCTCCATCCCATTTTTCGCCTTCTCCCTCATCGAGGGCTACATCTCCATCGTGATGGATGCCGAGACGCAGAAAAAGTATGTGACCTTTGACCCAAGAGGTGGATGGGAAGGGGGGGGGGCACAGACCCTAAACCAGCCCCCAGGGAGGGAGGGTACCAGGCTCTGCCATCAGCAGGCAGGTCAGCTAAAGGGTCCACCCGCAGATGGGGTCATGGGTGACCCTGCCACCCCCCTCCCCCCCCCCACACCTGTCCTCCAGGTTTCCCAGTGACCTCCTGCTGACCAGCTCATCCGGAGAGCTGTGGAGGATGGTGCGAATTGGTGGACATCCACTGGGCTTCGGTGAGAGCTACTCGTTTAGGGGAGGGGACCTTGGGTGCGGTGACCCCCGCCACCAGTGTGAGCTACATGGACCCTCCTGAACCCCCAGATGAATGTGGCATCGTGGCTCAGATTGCCGGACCCCTGGCTGCTGCTGACATCTCTGCCTACTACATCAGCACCTTCAACTTTGACCACGCCCTGGTGAGCACCACAGGCCTGGGGGCTGGGGAGAAGCCTGGAGGGAAACTGAGGCCCAGGGAAGTGAGGGAGCCACAGAGGCTGTCCCAGCCGGCCTGGATTCATTCCCTGACCTTCCCTCCCGCCCTTTCTCCCTGCCGCCTCCCCCCAGGTGCCCGAGGATGGCATCCGCAGCGTCATCCAAGTTCTTCAGCGAAGGCAGGAGGGTCTGGTATCGGAAGGTTCCTAGAGACCCCAGCAGGCGCCAGCGCCTCCTCTCCACCGGGCTTCCAGAGACTTCTCTGAGCTATTTTCTCAAGCTACGGAATGAGCCCTCTCCCCTACTCCTACAGCATGGCGGGGGGGTCCCCTCATTCCGCTTTCTGTATGTAAGCTGCGTGCAGGCACCAGCGCCCGGGGACCCAGGCCTGCTTTCCCAGGGGCCCTGGGCAGGTGCCCGCCCCCTCCCTGCTCTGCCCACGCAGGGGAACCTGGTGCTTGGGGCTTATGCCTCCAACCCGTCACTCCCCGTGGGCTTTTGGCATTTGCACAGTCCCTGCTCGAGGCCTGAGCCATCTCCCCCTCCCCCTGGGGCCAGCTGGCCCCCTGGGCGCGGCTGTCTTCCAGGTCTGGCCCTTGTCTCGCTGGCCAGGTGAGTTCTGACAGTGCCTTAAGGAAAGTATTTTTGCATCTCTCCTTTTGTTTTTTTAAACTGTTAATAAAAGACTTTATATTGACTAGATTGTTCTGTGTTCTTGGTTCTCCTCTGAGTTTCATTCTCAACCATGGCTCATCCTCTCTCTCCTTCCTTCCTTCCTTCCTTCCTTCCTTCCTTCCTTCCTTCCTTCCTTCCTTCCTTCCTTCCTTCCTTCCTTCCTCATGTGTTTTGGCTGCATTAGGGCTTGAACATAAGGCCTAGGCACTGTCCTGTAACTTTTCCATTCAAGGCTAGTACCTACCACAGCTCCACTTTTGTTTTTGGTGTGGTTTTTTTTTTTTTTGCTAGTTAATTGGAGATCAGAGTCTCATGGACTTTCCTGCCCGGTCTGGCTTTGAACTTCCATCCTCAGATCTCAGCTTCTTGAGCAGCTAGGATTACTGAGCCACTGACATTCAGCTTCCTTTTCTTTCACCAATGAGGGATTTGAACTCAGGACCTCACATTGGCTTGGCTTGCTTATTGATGGCAGGTGTTCTATCCCTGGAGCCATGCTTCCAGTTCTACTTTTTGCCAGTGAGTTGGAAGTAGATGCACAGACTTTTCTGCCCAGGCTGGTTTTGGACCAGGCCTCTGGATCTCAGTCTCCTGAGCAGCTGGGATGATAGGTGTGAGCTAGTCACACTCTGGGCCCTCTCCTTACCTCCACTCCCCTGAGCAGTACATGAACCACTGGCATGATTCAGATGAGGAACTGAAGTCCGAGGCGACATGACACATGGATCCCGCACAGGGCTGTCTGCTGCTCAAGTCTGGGTTCTTTTCTCCATTCCTATTGCTTCCAGAACAACCCAGAAAGTTGTGGGCATGGGCAGAGAGACACTCAGACCTTCCTGCCTAGAGTGTCCTTGACCTGGGTGTGGAGAAGCCGTCAAGAAGATCCCCGAGCACCTTTCTCCAGGTGTCCCTTGCTTACTTTTGGACCAAGCCTGAGTTCTTTGTTTTCTTTTTAGGCTCTTGTACTTGAACTCGGGTACTGTTGCGCTCGAGACTAGCAGGCTACCTCTAGAGTCACAGCAACCACTGCTGGCTTTCTGGGTGGTTCCTTGGACATAGGAGTCTCATAGACTTTCTTGTCCAGGCTGGCTTTGATCCATAATCCTCAGATCCTAGCCTCTTTGAGTAGCTAGGATTACAGGTGTGAGCCACCAGCATCTGGCCAAGTCTAAGTTCCAGCTGTCCCTTTGATGGGCCTTCCCAGAGCTCTGGTGGCCGGGCCTGGGCACTGGGCTTCTGCCCATGACTAGGACAACAACGCATGTCCTTGAAGGTACCCAGAGCTGGCTCTGTCCTACCATGCCCAAGTGGGCATAGGCTCCTCTGGGCCTAGATTTTTGTGCCATAATGGGCCACACACCCCTCAACAAGGCCTGGAACCCCCGTCAGCCCGTCAAGGGGGCCCCCCAGATGCCCTGGGGGGGTTATCAGGCAAGCTCAGCCCCGCCCCACCCAGGCTGGGGAAGGGAAGAAGGGCGTGACTTCTGCGTACTCCCTCCTCACTGTGGCTCCCCAGAAAAGCCAGAACAAGGGGCCTAGCCTCTGGCAGTGCGCCCGCTCTGGTCCTGGGGACCCCAGGGCTGGGGCCTTCCTTAGGCCGCTGATGACACCAGCTGAGAGCGCAGCCGTGGCCTGGTGAGTGAGCGGCAGAGGCCTGGGAAGGCCTCTTCCAGCCTCAGTTTCCCCAAGTGCCCAGAAATGTAGTAGCTGCCCCTTTAGAGACCCTAGATGGGAGAAGTTCCTTGGAGTCAGAAGTAGAAAGTTCTGAAGGGTTCTGATTCTGTTCCTGAGGGCCTGTGAGATGGGGACCCTAGAATGGGGCTGTCAGCCACATCTGGAGCGCTCCTGACCCTGGCTTGGGGTGTCTGTCTGTCTGTCTGTCTGTGAGTCACTGCTTTGGGTGTTTGTGTCACCCTGGTTCTCAGAGGGCCTCAGGCCACACCAGGCCCCTTAAACCAGGTCCCAACTGGCTGTGGGATTTGGGGGGTTACTAATGGCCGGGCCTGGGCGAGATGGCCACAGCATACCCCCAGGAGGCTGGTCTGACTCAGACCCAGGGGTGCATGGCAGCCTGCCCACCCACCTGTGTCCCTGCCTCGTGTCTGAGTGCGCCTGCGCACTGTAGGGCCTTCTGGGGTCCCAAATCGATCCACTGCGGGTGTGCGGAGGAGACCCAGCAGGGGTCGGAGAAATGGCTGAGGGAAGTCAGTGTCTCCAGGGGGCTCCGTTCACTCAGGCTGGGGCTCAGAGGCCTGCTGCCTCCTGCGGGGTGGGGACGGGGGCAGCATGGCCGGCCTAAGGGTGACTTCAGGCCAAGGATTGGGGACATGGGCCTCCCAGGAGCCTCCAAGCCTCCCACAGAGGCAGAGATGGAAGCCCAGGGACTTGATCTCATGATACAAATGGGGTGGGGCGGGGAGGGGGGGAGAGGAAAGTATGGCCCTGGGAGGGTGAAGAAGGGCCAGAGGGAAACCCAGCCACAGCCTGATTCTCTGCTTGCTCAGCCCCCTCCTCACACAGAGGAAGGAATTCCCACAGACAGGTGCAGCCCAGGCCTTCCCGACCCATTCTCCACCCCTGCCCCAGGGGGCCCTTGGGTCCTGTGCTAGCCCAAGTGGCTCCTTGATCCTCCATAGTGGTGAGAGAAGCAATGCCATGTGCCCTTTGGTGTTCCCAGGGGAAAGACCTCAGAAGCAGCAGCCTGGGGGAACGGAGTCCACCTGCAGCGGGCTGACCACAGGGTGAGTAGCAGGCCGCATTCATGCATGTATTTATTCAGGGTGGTCTTCCACCATCCTCATTTCACACAGGTGCAAATGAAGCCCAGAGAGGCTCAGTGGCTTCCTCAAGGTCACACAGCTGGACACAGGCAGACACCAGAATTCCCCAAAAAAGGTTCACCCTGGAGAGGAGATGGGGAGTCTCCCTGAGGTGTGTTGGGGGGGGGGAGCTGAACCCCGAGCGATAGCAAGGTTTTGCAAGATCCCTTTGTCATGGCAGCTGTGTGCGTTGGTGGCGGGGTGTCTGCTGCCGGTGGCAACGGGGGTGTGGGCAGGCACGCGAGGCCTGACCTGGGGCGGGCACAGGGCTGGGTGGGGATTGGGCAATGGCTGCGGTTTCTGTCTCACTTTCCCAGGCTTGCCCTGGGTTGGATGTCCGACACAAGGAGGCCCCCGGGGGGGGGGGGGGGGACGGTGCCCAGAAGGTTCTTCCCCGAGGGGACAGGGGATGCCGTGTAGGACACGCGTGCCCATGGGTGGGCGGTGCTGCAGGGCTGTGGTAGTAGTGTCCACACGGATGGAAGAGATGGATGTCAGTCAGCACCGGCTGTGGGCCTGCTTCTCTGTGTGTGTGTGTGTGTGTGTGTGTGTGTGTGTGTGTGTGTGTGTGTGTGCGTGCATGCACGCACGCTGCCAGTGGCTGGGCTGCATGTCTTTGATATGTACGTGTGTATGCATGCACACACACACACACACACACACACACACACACACACACATGGGCTGAGGTCAGTACTCTTCAAGGCCGAAGGTGGACTAGTAGGAAGCAGGGCTCCAGGAAGGGCCTGGGGCCTCTGACTCGTTCTTGACCCCTCTTGAACCCTTCCTTGTAGCCTGACTCACTGTCTCAGCCCTTTGGTTTTCCTGGGGTTTTGCTCTGTGCTTTGTTTTGATTTCATTTGGCACTGGGGATGAATGAACCCGGGGTCTTTCACGTGCTTGGTAGGCACTCTATCAATGAGCTACATATTCAGATCTTGCTGTATTGTTTTTAAGTCTGCCTTTCATTTTTAAAAATGTGAAGTAAAAGCTATATAATATAACATTTTAAAAAATGAGACGAGTCCCTCTTAGCTCAGGCTAGCCTCAAATTTTCAGTCCTGTCCCAGCCTCCTGAGCATTGGGATTATAGGTGTGCATTACCACATCTGGCTAAAAAATGGACTGATTTTAGTTGACTAATAGAAAAGTTTGAAAGCTGTGAGTTGGTTTCTCATCCCTGTAATCTTAGCTTCTTAGGAAGCTGAGATTTGAGGATCAAGGGATCAAAGCCATCCTGGGAAAGAAAAGTTCATGAGACTTTTTTTTGTTTTGGTCAGTCGTGGGGCCTAAACCCTGGGCCTGGGCGCTGTCCCTCAGCTCTTCAGCTCAACGCTAGCGCTCTACCGCTTGAGCCACAGCGCCACTTCCGGCTTTTTCTGTTTATGTGGTGCTGAGGAATCGAACCCAGGGCCTCATGCATGCGAGGCAAGCGCTCTACCACTGAGCCACCTTCCCAGACCCTCATGAGACTCTTATCTCCAATTAATCCCTCAAAAGCCAGAAGTGGAGCTGTGGCTTAAGTGGTAGAGTGCCAGCCTTGAACAAAAACCTGAAGCAGAGCCTGAGGCCTTGAGTTCAAGTTCCAGTACCCGGCTTAGTTTAGTTAGACTCAGGGACCTACGCTTACTAGGAAAGCACTCTACCACTTGAGCCACACAAAATTAATCATTTAAAACCATTGAATAATCCAGCAGTATTTAGCACGCTGACAATGTTGTACCACCCTCAACTCCACTGAGTGCCAAGGCATTACTCACTCATCACCTCAGAAGCAGACGTCATGTTCATCGGCCCTGCTCCTTTCGCTCTCACTTCCTGACTGGTCTGCGTTGACCTCTTTTGGATATTTCATTTACACAGACGCTTACAATCATCCAGCACATGGCTTCCACTTCTTGCATTTAGCATCATGTACTTGAAATGTGGTGGTAATATGGCAGTCTTCTTCAGGACTACATAATACTCCATTACATAGCTACTCTGTGTTTTGTTTATTCAGAATCTTTTGAAGGACCTTCAGTTCTGTCTTGTCCACCCTTTAGTGATTAAGCTCTGCCTTCTAGATGTGGAGATGCTTGACATTTTATGTAATGCCTTAGCCCTGCCTGCCAACCTGTCTTCCTTCCTTCCTTCCTTCCTTCCTTCCTTCCTTCCTTCCTTCCTTCCATCCTTCCTTCCTTCCTTCCCCTCCGTCCCCTCC